CAGCCTGTAGCCGTGACGACGTACTGCTGGAACTACAGTAGCAACGAGGGTGCGGCGGGCCCTGCGAATCTGCCGTAACACTGACGGCCTCTTCTCCTGGCCTCACTTCCATCACGCGCTATTTCAAGCCGCGAACCACGCAGCCACGGAAGGGATCCTAGGCGATCAACGCATTCTTGACAAGATTATGTGGAGGGTGATATGCATTGCCCGGCGCTTCGGAGACATTATTGCGTTAGCGATATTTACGGACAAGCTCCCCAACTCGCGTGGGGTCTCGAAGTCCACGCTGGATGACGACCAAAAAACATCTCGCACCATCCAGAAGGCCTTGGGTCTCTCCGGGGGTTCTCAACCGAAGTCCGTCGCGGCGGCCGGCGGCGGTTCCCCTCTCCAGGTCGGTGGGGGGTTTTCTTCCCCTCCTAGCCTTGGAGCCGCTGCGGGCCTCGCGCCGCAGGGTTTTTCCAGCGGTGTGGCACAGAGTGTTGCCGCTCTGCAGCACCCATCCGTCACCCTTCCGCTTGGCGGCGGCGGCGCGAGGAAGTCTAAGACCAAGGAAGCGGGATCACGGGGGGGCGGGGGCGCGCTATCCGTATATACGCGAACTAGAATTACTTTAAGCACTTTCCACAACCTGGAGGAACTGAAGCGAGAGAAAAACTCACTTTGCAAGAAAGCTCGCTTACGCCGGCATTCGAACCCGTGGCCTTGGCCACTTGAAGGCTTTCAAGGATACCAACTAACAAAAAAACATTCTTCCCGTCATGTTGAAACCGAGCGTAATATCTTCACTACTGCTGTCCACAAATAAAGATCTGTGCCCAACAGCGATCTACCTTTGGTAACACAAGACCCACCAAGAATCATCATACGGAACTCTCGCTCTCGCTGTTTTTCTTTGTTTTTCAAGATCGCCCCTTTACTTTTGAGTTAGTTAACTCCGGGGTGTTCACTTGCAACAAGGTCAAACAATTCACCTGGGACGTATTCTCAAATGAAAGCATGGTGTATCCCTTTGAACCCAGCAGGCCACGGCGCTCCTGCAGTAGTCTCCTTGATTTTTTCCCCAACCGTAAGTTCCCGAAGCGACGCCGGCCAACAGATGTCCTTGATCAGTTGGTTAAAGTCCCTTCCGAAGCTGAGCTTCTCCAGCGAATCTGACCATGAAACTTCCGCAATGGGCTGGTTGAAGTCCCATTGGAAACCGAGCTCCCTCAGAGAATCTGGCCACGAAGCTCGCTCAATCGGCTGGTTGAATCTGTCACCAAGAAAAAGCTTCTGCAGAGACGTCGGCCATTGTACCAGCTCGTTAGCCTGGTTGATTGCTACACAACCGTTGAACTCGATCGTTTTCAGCCGTCGCGGCCATGCCACGGCATCAAGGCTGCCTCGAAACTTACCACCGAACTCCATGTACTCCGCGTCCGCCAATGCCAAAATCGGGCTAGTCCATTCCGATGCCGTCGGCATGTTTACGTCACGCGGCGCGCTCGAAGCCGTGGTACGCGTGTCCAACACGGCCGCTTCGGGTGCGGGGGGGGGGCATCCGCAGCGGCCAGCAGCCTGCGAGGAAATCGTGGGTCAACTTTCAAGTGCACGTGGCCAGCAGTTCTGCACGCCATGCAGATCTCCAGGGACGTCAGCTGCAGCTCCTTCGTCGACGTGTACCAACTGTCCCGGTTGCACGTCTTGTTCAGAGCAACAGTGAGGGCGTTCAAGCATGAGTTACCAGTGCGTCCTGAGGAAGAGACAATCGTGTTTGAAAGAATGCACGAGTTAAGGCGGGCAAATGACGAGTTGCCAAAGCTTTCAGTCCGGCCAAGTTTCATTTTATTTTCATGTTATTTTCTCTTTTTCTTACTGTTTCCTTTTTATTTTATTTTTTCTCTTTTTTCTCTCTTTTTTCTCTCTTTTTTTTCTCTCTTTTTCTGCGCCAGATGGCCTTGTCTCTGCTTGCGCTGTGAAGTACCAAGATTGAACCAAGGGGGTGTACCTCTTTCTCTCCGGCCCATGATAGTGACTCCTAGTCTCAGTTGATACCTCGCATAGAGCGCAGAGGGAGTGGAGGATTCCAGGATATCTGTCGTTGATTTCTATTGACTTGCGGACCCCTCGGGGCCAGTTTATTTGAGTGTACCTTTATAGGGTAAGTTAACCTGTGACCACGGGAATCGACCGCGTCGAGTGTTGGATCAGTACGGACATACGAAGGTACTGGGTAGAGAGAGATCGGAACAATTTTTAATGTGAAGACAACAACAACAACAACAAGAATCCGGAATTGGTCAAAGACCACGATACACCCAATAGGAGACGGCACATTGACTGCAATTCCTTAAAACCTTAAAAATCGCCCGGTCAGGGCAACCTCAAATCCTCCGATATTCATTTGTTTGCTGCGTCTCTTGCTCACTCGTCCCGGTGGCCGTACGCTACAGTAGTGATACTGCTGAGGGAAAATTACTGCTAGTGCTTCGCATCCCTCTCGGCGAAACGGAATTTCATCATGAGACAGCGGAGAGGAGCAGAAGAGACTTCGTATTTTTACGGGCTGTTTGAACCCAGCGACATGTCGCTTCAAGTATTTCCTTTTTTCAGCAAGAGCATATCCTTGTAGAGCTCAACAAAGCACACCCGACATGAAAACAATCACTGGATGAAAGACCTAGAAGATTGGCGCCCTTGTTAATCAACGGGATGCGGCAGTAGGACCAGCAGCAGCCGCAGCAGGTGTGGAATGATTGTGATGTCACGCAGCCCACAACAAAAAAAGGCGCACGAAGACAAAAGAAGTGCAGCTAGTGCTCTTGTCTATATTCTAAGGCAGCCTTGAGGCGGAACACCATTCGTAACAAGTACCAGGTACGTTAACCGCAAGTAGTCCATGCAGGGTGTGGTGCTGCTAAACCTTGTTATAGAGGCCCCCGGAACCTCTCTTTTCTGCCGCTCCTCTATGTGCTGGAACTGAAAGAAAAAACGAGAGAGCTTAACCAACTACTGCCACCGCGTTACCAAAGGAGAGAAGGATCTAGACATCGAAGCCACAACCATCAGTAGTTCAACATCTGGATATCAGAGGTTCAAGATTGACACGAAATAGATGTTCGCTGCTGTCTTCAAATATTGGTAGAAGATGACGTGGAGCTCTAGATGCGAACAGCATCGGAGGTTTGGAGAAGATTATGTGCGACTAGCTCTTGCCGCACTGACGCCCGTAAGCTCGCTACTCTACCGATTCAAGAGCAGGGTAAATTAATGCATTTTCAGGTTGTAAGGGATACCAGGCGGAAATAAACGGAGCGGGCGCAAACCTCGCTTGTTTCCCGACCAGACACAAACGCGGACTAGATAAAAAGACAACAAAGAAGCGAGGGTGCGCTTCACACAGTCAAGCTGAGAGGTCAACAACGCTCACTCGACACTCTTCGTGTACGATGCACATGCTTGAATGTCTGCTAATTGTAACATCATTGCTCGAGGACGACTGGCGAGAGTTGGACCGTTCAAGTCTCGAAATAACGGTCACCTCGTGTGCATAGAAAATCAATCTGTTCCACGACAGTCCAAACACGAGGAGGAGTTCCCGGTTACGGGTTCGTGCTGTTGGGTACAAACTCCTTTCCCTTCGTGTCATGGTTGGTGATCAGGACAAAAGACGCATGCACCCGTGGGCTTTGCTGCATGTGGGGTGTGTGGGCGGCGATTCTCAGCAACGTGCACGCAATCAGAGAGCCGTTCTTACACAATGTTTCATGGTTGCAACATGAACGCATGGCATTTCACAGAATAAATGATGCGTTGGAAGTTACAGAATACCGTTGACTACAAGGCGGCACACACCAAAAGGAGAATAACACGGTCAAGCGAGAGACATACTAAGCACGTCCAACACTAGCACCGTGCCGACGCCATGCGTGCCGACAACGGATAAAATAAGACTGAGCTTGCGGGAAAAAAAAATATAGCCCTGGCCTTGACAGACGCGCACCATCGTTCTGTTTCCGACAAACAAAACATGTTCCAACCCGGACTCCACAGTCGGCGCATCGAGGTCAAACATTTGATGAGGCCACCTCAACTAACTCGTCGTTCATCTCTTGATGGAATCACCCCGCACGCACTCAGCTGGTACCCGCAACATTAAAGTGTGTGTAGAAGACACGGCGACATTTTGATGTAAGTTTGTTGGCACGAATACAATCCGCTGTTGGATTTATCTTCGTTTTCCCCTTTGGGATGGCAATGGAACGCGTTTTGTATCTCCCTCTGCACACGAACGTGGGGAAGGCCAAATATTCTTGCTTTCTAGGCCGGCGCTCGACGTTATTACCCGCCTGCAGTGTTGCGTTGATAACGGTTGGGGCGAATCCGTCTACGATCGTGCCCATCTCGGTTTTTAACGCGATGTGGCACTCTCTTTGGACCAAGCGGCCGTTGCGTCTTGATCGACTTGAAACAGACGAGACGATAAAACACACACCACCAACCTGGAAGTAAGATACAACGTTCACAAAAACCTAGCGGGGTCTCCTCAACTCGGTGAGAGTTGAGGGAATTCACGAACTCTCGGTATCAACACGGCACTCACCAAGCGCAGTCGGAGGCGAAGGAAGGAGAGAAGAAGCCGGGGCTGACGGCGAAACCTCCTCCTCCAGCACAGAGATGCACTTTTGAAGAGTTGACAGAGCCCGCTCGCGCATTGAACCGGACCAAAACAGCACCAGCTCGGCTAGCTTGGTCGCGTCTTCATTCGCCACGGCCGGCCCCCACTCATCTGCCGAAAGGTCAACTAGGTGAGTTCATCACAAAAGTTGCTGGCTTCGGATCAGTCGCAGCCTGACGTCAAGCTTGGACATAAAAAACCTGCTCGTAAACTCGTTATACAGCCTTCTGCTTCGAGGAAGTTTAAACAAACTATTCCTTAGGTTGGTACGGAGAATATTTCGTCAGACGAGGATTTACCACCTATTCTAACATGATACATGTCGCGTGTTTCAGAGTAAAAACAGGCAGATACGCTTGCTTCATGGTGTTCATGCCCTGCGGTATGACTGGACAATATCGCTCCCCGGCAATGGATACAGCGTCACTTCATCGATTGATACGTATGCCGTAGCCTCCCCAACCACCCAATCCCAAGCGTCGCTGGTCGCAGAGCTGTCAGTCGTAAGGGCAACATCGACGACAACATAGAAATCGAGCACGAGTCAAGAGCAACTCTGCACGGGAACATAACATCAAGACCGACCCGCACCCTCGTGCCAAGACTCCGATGTGTGCGGTCCTGAACAAATCACAGCAGACATACACCAGCACTTGGTGTGCGTGTGCAGGTATTGCAGCATCAGGACCACAACATAACGAGCACAGACAGACACAACAGCACACCAGCACCCCAAAACACGCAAAACACATGCGGCGAAAAAAATCCGAGGCGGCGAGGCGGCGAATTACCTTGAAATTCCCCAACACAGAGGTCTGTGTCCACACACACTACACACACAAGCAACACGTTGGCTACGATGTCAGACGGTGCAAGCGCGGAGTCTGCATTTTTCGTAGTACCGTAGTTGTTTGTGGTTGTTTGGTCTCGTGTGGTTTGTACGCGTTCTTGGTTGATTGATTAGAAACCGTTTGCCGATTCCGACAATAATGACAATGTTGAACAACATCAATTGCACATGAGCACCGTTACGATGCCAAAGTACACAGAGTGGAGTCCCTGATACAAGCTATGTACCTTGGTACAGTAGTGGCCCGCAACAGAAGCTGAATGAAGGGCTTGCTTTCACGCCCCCTCTGGATCGCATGAAGTGTCTGCCAGGCAGCCGTGCATAGACTAAGCAGCGCCAGCTTGTGAGGAGGCGGTGCTATCATGATGAGAATCATGCTTGTGATGTGCGCTGCATCATCTGTGGACACGATTCCCCCGTCGATCGCAAAAATTTATTATATCTTAACGGCAACAGAACAGAAATCTCTCTCTTCTACCCTGTTTCTCCCACGCCGACAACTACACAACAATAGGAGGCAGAAACAGAGAAGGACGTGCGTCAGTGTCACTGCGCCAGAATGTGTGCTGTTGTTGTGGACACAGCGACGCGCGGAATGATGCGACTTGTTCTCGTTGCAGCTCCTCTGTCGCCTAGGCTCTGCTCTGTCTCCGTTCTTGTCATTGCTGCCTACACAGCACATGCGACCCCCCCCCGCCCCCCCCACCCCCTCTCTCTTCCTCTCGCCTCGTTGCTCTCTCTCTCTTATACCGACGGTTGGTGGTGTGAAACCGGGGGGTTATTGGTGTTGCTGTCCCATGGGCCGTTATTCGAAGGTGTCCACTCAACAACGAAACAAGACCCTGACCAACTTAGGGTTGGTATACCACAGCAGTGGTCTTGCCGGCGTACCGAAGGTGAGGGTGCGCGAGCAAAACATGGAAACCACTTTCTCGACATAGACTAAATCAAATTCACACGATTCCTCCGGAGTGGGCTCATTGTAAAGGCACAGCAGTGTCGTCAAGGTGTGATGCAAGAGACAGGCCGAAAGGGCATCGCCAAGCCACAGGTAGCTGACAGCTACCAGTGTTGTGACTCTCCATAAGCTCAACAGCACAAACGTGTGACATATTTTTGACTCGACACATCCATTGCACCGAGCGCGAGAAAAACAAACCAAAGAGCTCTGCTTGCTACCACAGCGGTGGATATGTAGAGGTTTAGCTCAAGTGCCTCTCCAGGACTGGGCGCGTCACAGAGCAGCGGGGTGTTCCGAACAACTCTCAACTCAACATGACCTCGGCTCGGCCGCACGCCGACCCCAATCGACCCTGCCTCTCCCCCTTCGCGGTGCCGGCGGGGACTGCTCTCTCCAACCCGTCGTCGCGGGCTCGAGACCCCAAGCGGAAGCCGAGTAACTCCACAACACAACGCGACGAGTGCTGCAACCGCCCGCTCGCACCCGCATCTACTGTATTTTCATCACGTTTAAGATTGGTCGAGCTGATTGGGCGAGACACGGTTTCCGTGTTCCGACTCCGAACCCACAAGAAGCTGTGTCCTTTGTTGTGTAGCGAGCTCGCGTCACACATCACATCACGAAACCGCTGTGTTGTCTTTCCAGCCTGCATGCACGTTTGGCCAGCCATGTTATCAGTAGTACTTCAATACGTGTGCGAGGGTGAGATGGATATGGGATAGTATGGCGTGTTGTTGTAGTGTTGTTGTTGTTGTTGTTGTTGTTGTTGTTGTTGTTGTTCGTGGCGGTGGTTGTTGTTGTTAGTGGTGGTGAATGTGGTCATGAACGAATGAGAGACCCAATCGGTGAGACTGTTGACCCCGAGTGGTTCCAGCCAAGCTCTCAATCATTCACGACCGACCACCGACCAAGCTGAGAAAGAGACCCAATCGATAAGACTGTTGACCCCTAATGGTGCCAGCCAAGCTCTTCTCAGTTCAAGGTCTTGTCCTTATCGACCGCCCTCAGGTTGGTTTCTATACCCCCGTGGGCATAAACTGCCAATTGGGTCTGCGCCAACATGGTCTACAATGAATTGGTTGCTTCTATGAACACGCGGCTGCCCACAAGTTGATCAACACTGTTGTTGCTCAACCTATATCACGCACACACTTTGAACTGAACTCAACCAATGTCTCAAACACTGCCAACAAATTAATATTCGGAAACACCAGCTTGCCTTGCCTTGTTGCCCGGGTAACTCTCTCTCTCTTCTGTGAACAACAAGCGTGGCTTCCAAACACAAGCCAGTGTCAAGAACACGTCATGCCGTGCCACTAATTGCGCCGCAAAAACGGAGATCTTGTCAAACATCCCCTGAATCTATGGAATATGTGACAATAAAGAAGAGCGAAGGATATATTCCATAGCCCTGAAAGAACAAACCACAACGCTCGCACATATTTGCTGCCACCGCTCCTACTGCTCCACCGGGCCTTTGCAGCGCCCCCGCTGCCGGTTCTGCGACGGCGGCTCAGGCAACCTCGACTCCGGGCTGCTGCTGCTTCTCCTGCTGAATGTGCTGCTGAGCTGCTGAGGTTGCGCGAACTCTTGTCGCCTGCGCCTTCGCGTGCTCCTGCTGGGCGAAAGCAATGGGCTTGCTGTTGACGCTGCTACTGCAACTGCTGATGTAATCTGCTGAGTTATCTGCTGTTGCAACAAAGCCTGCTGCTGGTGCTGCTGCAGAGCCTGCTGCTGCTTCTGCTGCTGCTGCTGCGGAACCTGCTGCTGGCGAACATTGGGCTGCTGAATCCCTTGCTGTGGAACAACCGCAGGTGGGTTGGGTTGGTGCTGGTTGAAACCTGCTGCCGTTGCTGCTGAAGCTGCTGCTGCTGTGCCACACACGGCGTGCTGTTGTTGCGCCTGCTGCGGCATGTTCGCGGCCAGCGGAACCCTCATCAATAGCGGGGGCTGTTTTAGCCCTCATCAGAGATGCGACAGTAAGTAAGACGTTACACGAACGACATCTCTTCTTTTTTTCAGGACTGGCTACATTTCTTTTTTATTTCTTGCATCCTGTCCTCCCTCTCCCCGCAGGGGACATGAGACGCGGCATCGCGGCATCTACGTACATACATGTGTGTTGAAACCGCTCGGATACATGTACTTGCGGTTTTTGACGGCAGTCTATCGTTGTAGAACTGACTGGCCCTCCACCCTACATGTAGCTTTACGATACTGCATAACACGGGTACATATGCATGTTGGCGCAGACCAAATTGGTGAGTTTACGCCCACGGGAGTATAGAAACCAACCTGAGGGCGGTAGTCAAGGACAAGACCTTGAACTGAGAAGGGCTTGGCTGGCACCATTAGGGGTCAACAGTCTCATCGATTGGGTCTCTTTCTCAGCTTGGTCGGTGGTCGGTCGTGAATGATTGAGAGTTTGGCTGGCACCACCACGGGTCAACAGTCTCACCGATTGGGTCTCTCATTCATTCTTGACCACACACTCATCACCACTAACAACAACAACCACAACAACAACAACAACAACACCACGCCATACTATCCCATATCCATCTCACCCTCGCATACGTACATTGAAGTACTGCCACTGCTATACATGGCTGACCAAACGACCAGCGGGTATGCGTGTAGTGGGTGTTCGTGTAGTAGTCGCTGGGTGTTGAAATCAATCAATCAACATGTAGACTTAGACTATTTATTCGTAACATATCTACGCGGGTAGTACCGTATGATCTCGATACGATATCGGGAACAAGCGAGTTTATCAGCAGATCGCAGATCGCAGATCACGACCCTTCCAACAAAATGCGCCGGAACTACAGTAGTGACGGTTGATGGGTTGGCTTGATTGTTTCCCTCCCCACAAAACTGGCTCCTTGTCTGTGCTCAAGATCTTACATGCGTGCACACACACAAACCACGGCCGGTAAGGATGGTACAGTAGTGAGGATCTTGCTTAGTCGTATCAGCTCCGGTGAGCATTGTCCCTGCTCTAACTGGCGCACGCGGGACAGGGTGATCACATCACATGTTGAAGCGTGCTTCAGGTGCCCTTGTACCCGCCGGTTGTGTTTCCGTTTCGGTAACAACAGCAGTAAATAGGCAGCTCATTCGTTCTGGAAAGGACATCTATCTGCCCCATAGACTCTGCATACTTTAGATAGGTATGCATGGTAAACACTGTGTGTATACCCCTGTGCACACCACGTCATACAGAATGCAGCCAGCCTTGCTCAACGCACGCCGTTTGATCGATCTGATCTGTCCTTGAACGATCAATTTGCAATCAACCACCAGTTCGTTCAAGAGTCCCATGAACTCCCCCCAGAAGGGTGTGCATTATATATCCCTATGTTGTCTCGACTTCAGGATACAGCTGTTTTGTGGTACTTGGGACATGAGTCCGAGATCTGTGGGTATATCTCGAATGGTTAATCTTTCTGTGTGTGTAATTATTTTTCCTTAATCTGTGTGTCGCTCTGGGGTTACATGTGTGGTAAGCATAGGCCCCTGAGGGAGGGAGAGAGAGAGAGAGAGAGAGAGAGAGAGAGAGAGAGAGAGAGAGAGAGAGAGAGAGAGATAATATATGTAGATAGGAAGAGAGATTTCCCACGCTCGGCTCGTATAATACACGTTTCTTTCTTCATCGGATTTTCCTGGGATAACCTGGCGCCCCGAACAGACACCGCCGGCGGCATTATAATCTTGTCGCGCCTCGTCGTGCCCTCATATCCCTCTTTCTCCGGTGAAAAAATATTTCATGCACAGATCCTGCGGTCTCGTATCTTGCCGAGTCCATCACAAACATCAAGCACAGCAACAAAAAAACTCATCCAACAAGACGGTACGAGACATACCACAAGACGGACTAGTCTACACCCCAACTCACTGACACACACAGTATTTTGTTTCGCACCGCGGTTGTACCCCCACTTTCCGAAAGCCTACTGACTACGTCGTGTTCGATGAATTAAAGTAGATGCGAAGCATGCCCATCCTGCAATTTGACCCTGTAAGCCCCCCTCCCCCTTTCGTGTACCGTGCCACTCTCGCTGCTTGCGCGTGACATCTCTACCGACAACTCTCCGTCCGCAGGAGGTGATTTGTTGCAGCACAGGCTACATACAGTAGCTGTGGGGACAATTGAGAGCGAGTGCATCCGGGTGCACCCGCCAGCATGCCACCTCCATGAGCCAAACGAGCTCCTCCGTTGTTCCAATCCCAATCGACTTCATTTTCGATGGAAGGGCACCCCCAACGGTGCATAATTTGATACGCGCGCGGAACACATGACGGGACCTAGCACTCAGTGCCGCGTTCCTTCGACTCCTGTCCACAATGACGCGTGCGCACCGCTCGCATTGCATCCAACACAACAACTCAAGCACTTGACTCGGTGCAAGTCACGCGCACTCAACGAGGTATTCGTCTTGTTCTCTTTCGAAGCTGCCGGCGACAAAGAGAGAGGGCTTCAGTTGAGGCCGGGGCCACCCTCTGGCTATTGTACACCAAACTCAACGGTGGCAATTGAACCGGTGCAAGGCATATCTCGTTCGTTTGCGTCAGTTGGGTAGAGACCCGAGTTGGCACACACCGTCCCGCGTCACGCGACGCCACTCCGACTACGAATGTATGACTCGATTTGACATCACTCGGACCACACAATGACAACGTCACGTCACCCCGACTTCAAAATGGTAAAATCTTGGCTTGGACGGGACGCTGACTACATAATGGAACACCGGGACGACCCTGGCGACGCTTCGCCGGCCGGCGGCATAACCATCTTGGCCAGAAGCGTCTTGAGCTTTGCGTACATGGAACCTGCACAGGTACATTAAATCCCCAATGGGCGTGAAGAAAAATGAAGGGAGAGAGGTGGAGGGTGGAGGGTCGAGAAAACCAACCACGCCCGCTTAGGTGTTTGGGTGTGCTCATGGGTACACGTGTCTATAGGCCGTTGGCGTCGCGTTCCCACAATACCGAGGACAGAGCGACATGCCGTGCTTTCGTCGGCCCACGCTGTGTTTCCAAAGGCAGCTCTATGAGCCAGCGTTGCGCGTGAGTAGGGGAGATCTTCGACGACTCGCAACGTGCCTACAGCACCCTCCGCTGTCGTTATCACTCACGTATCAGCAGCATTCTGTTTTCTTCTACAAATAAAGGCCTCCAGCCATCAACACGATTTGACGGAGGCGAACTAAGACAGGCAAATGTGAGACGATGACAAATGTATACACTTCGTTGCGCAGCAAACACCTAGTGACATGGACGTCGTGCGCATTCGATTCTGTGTGGGTTTTACCACAATTAGAGACCACAAGGTGTACGTCTATACTGTACCAAGCGATTACCAGGGAGTACCACATACTAAACGTTGTCTTGTGACGACGGGGTTTGTCTCAATCGGTAGCAGGATGAGTGCGCCGTACACGTGTTGAGAACAGATAGGCAGGGATATTTCTTGACGCGAATAGTACCGCCTATTTCCAAGGTGTACCCCCCCCTTTGAGGGCACTTGGCTTGTGACCACGGAAGGCGCCCGCGTCAGTTGGGACCAGTACGGACATTAGAAGGTACTGAGCGGAGGCCGGAACGGTTTTTTATTGTCAAGACAAAAACATAACAGCGACCGAACAAGAACGAAATCTCACCGACTACTGGTGGGCATCTGCGCTTGGTCGTCACCACCTTGATGCGCGCGTCCAGCGTGCGGAACGCCGCCTGAAAGGAAGAGAGAGAGAACCGAATCGGGCCACGAACCATGGAAAAGAACGGGGCGAAACGGGTCACATCGCACCATTCGGCGTGGTGTGATTGGTCAGCATGCCGGCATGTCCCGTGGAGGGTATCGCCCGACACCTCCTACGGTGTTTTTGTCATTTGAGGTGCTACGGCCGCGAATCATTGTGCATCGCATTGTGCAGCTGATCCTACATGGATCGCAGGCGTTCGGCCCATCACGAGGCGGTGACGCTGCTGCTGCGTTTGGCCGAGGGCATCGAGGAACGCGCGCCCTCGGGACTAAGACATCTCGATCACTTAATTTATCGCGAAGGAGGTCCTTATAAAAAAACTACGCATGCATACACTCCGGGCCAAACAGCAAGAGTTTCCCTTGTCGGTAAAATCCCAAACCGCTTGTGTATGCTGTAGTGTGTGAGGGATTTCTGAATCCATGTTTACTGCCGTTCTTTGACTATTTGATTCTAGAAAGTGTGCACCCTTATTGGTAGTTTGTCTTCGAACGGCTCCGCGTCCGTTGGACCGATACGGATGCTAGAAGGTACTGAGCAGAGGCCGGAACGGGTTTTAATGTTAAGACAACAGCAACAACAACCATAACCACTACAGGCGACTCCTTTTCTGGCTTCAATGCCCATGCCCAATGAGTGACGTCACAGGATCCAATGAAAGGGGCCCGCCTCACCTGCGTGTACCCCCTTCCCGTGGCAGCGTTGATCATGTACTTCATGCGGAGAGTTTGCCAGTATAGGCCCAGCATCACGAAATTCCTGGCGAGTGGGTGGGGGGATGGGGGGGCTGTTTCGTGCAACGACACACCGAAACGTTGGACACAAAATGGGAAAAGTTCCAGAAAATGTTCCTCGTCAAGAACAAACAAAACCCCAGAACATGTCTCCAAACACTCATCAAACGCATTGCTATCTACGTTGTGCGGATACTGTAGCAGGTCCCTAGCCAACCAAACATGCACCAAAACACAGACAACATCGGCCAGGTCGATGGAGTGCCACGAAAACAAATTTGCCGAGAAACGCTCACGACAAGATGGAAGAAGAACGTCCAAGGAGCCACAACTGAAAACTCCCCAGCAAAAACACCACACATATACAAATACGCGTAAATGGTGCTCGCCATTTTACATCCGCAACCTGCGCACGAAGCAACGATTTGGGTTGCTCTGTTGCTGCTGGACCAGCATTTTACGGGTTTTTCCTAAGGCCTTGCATAGATACCGTTGTCTGTTTTTCTTTGTTGCGACCGCGGGAGTCGTGTCTCGAAAACCTAGCACCCTGAGTGTCTCTACGGCAGGGTGGTGGAAACACTCCGTTCGCGGCATGGCAGTGTTGTCGTGTGATCACAGGCTCCGAGGTAGCAACAATGACAACATCACCACACCAACAACAACACAACAAGACGCCAACAACAACAACAACACAACAAGACGCCATCACCACCACCAACAACAACAACAACATGGTATCCACCACTACACCGAAAACAGCAACAGGGACAGCAACATTATCAACAAGAAAAGAAGCAGCAACAACAAATATAACGACAGCATGGCATACCTGCGGGGGAGCAGCAACTCCGCCACGAGGATCATGCCGAACATGACCTCAATCCAGGCACCCCACTCGCTAGCCTTGCTCTTTGCCGCTGACCACCGGTCCGTCACGCTACACCACCAAAAAAATTGGGAATGATGTACGGCGACAGCATATGAATTGCTGCGTGCAACAGACTGGTGGTGTGGGTGGGTGACCTTCGTTGTGACACGGCAGTGCTATTTAGCGCCGACGTGATGTATCAGGCTACCGATGATGAGCGAATCTCGGGCAGTTGAACGGATGGGACAGGGTACGCTTCACGAATTCGGAGCGAAACCGGAAGGACACCAAACGGGCAGCTAATTGAATCGCGGCACAAGGTAATACGGATATGTTAGGCCAGCAAAGGCAGTATGAATCCATCCCATGCAACGAACAAGATAACACCGCGAACACGAGACACCGAACACGAGTATTATAGTATCATATCAAGGGACGTCGATGATGCTGTCAACAACTGCCATGGTACATCGTTGGAAGAACGAATTCAATGTTATGTATTGATCGCATACGGGGGTGCTTGTAACAACAACAGCAACAACGACAATGGTATTTCCGGGAAAGTGCCAACTCTTGGCCTGATTTGTGGGGGTGAAAACGAAGTCGTGCAGCAGAGATCTCCCTCTTGTCCTCCCAATACAACGGGCTCCAGGCTCATTATGCCACAAAAAATCAACCCCATCCAAACAAAGCAACAGCAGTCCCGTACAAGTGCGAGCCATCATGCTCTTTCATAGCTTCAATGCTCCGCAACCGAGAGAGGGTGTGAAAAATTCGCCCGAAACCACCTTTCTTGACATCGGCAACCTCTTTCTTTGCGGCGCTCTGAAAGTAGGTCGAAGGCGCGTGCGTTGACTCACGGTATTTCGTTTCAATGGGGTGTTTTCTTGGAAGCGATGTTTTCCGCTGCTTCTGTGCGAATGCTGCTGTTGTCTTACCTCCGACTGCCCCAATTCGGGATGCCGAACAGCGCCCCGCCGAACCTGTCCACGCCCCGGTTGAGCTTTTCGAAAAACGCCCCCGGCGACATCTGGAGAAGACCGCTCAGGAACCACAGGAAGTCCGTTAATTCTAGCAGAACCATCTTTGCAGCGAGCGGACGAGAGACGAACAGACAGACGGGGACAGGCGGGGGGCGGGGGGGGGGTGTACTCATAGCTTTCCATACCGTAGCCGTTGTAACATTCAGGGGGGAGCGGGGAGGGACAACACGTCCATCACTGCTGTCATATTGAGTCACTTCAAGAGGCAAGGGACGGTCAGCACCAAGGTCATGGCAAGTGACGGGAGAGAGGGAGCTACGAAAGCACCTTCCAGCAGTTTTCTGAGGGCACAAAATGCTGGACGCGCGGACGACTGCTGATCGAACCCGATGCCGTATGCAATCCCCCTCGAACTCCAAAAGGCGCTATTGTCATCATCTTCCATACGATGCGGCGAGGTCCTGAGGGATGCGGTGAGAACCAGGAAAAATACTACTCGACAAACGCTCTACGTCTTGCCGTGGCTCTCCCCTCAAAGCAAGAGACCCCACATGCGCCGCACGAGAGAGCACGGAAAGAAGATAGATAGGACCAAAACAAGCAAGCATCCCCTGTTGGTCAGGGCACAATCTGCGGCAATTCCGCTGTCTCGCTTCATGGTCTCTCCTTTTGCGCTCACCGGTACGATGCCGACGAGGTATGGCCTGTTGAACACGAAGAGCAGGGCCGTCATGATCGTTTGGCAGCAGGGATCGGTGACCACGTTCGCCGCATACTGACAAGGCAAGGTTCCAACAGGTTTGACACGACAACGTTGGGTTGGATAGGGTGAATCGTTCGCACTCCTCTCTACATCTTCGAACACCGATGTAAATTCGATTCTCTGACGCCCCTTGCTTATTCGATCTCCCCGCAGTCCCCTCCCGCCACCCTCCGTCTACTCAACACCAACTCAACAGTAGCTACCACTTCCCGTCGTATCCCTTAATCCCCCCAGCCCTCCCCCGTCCTTTCTATCCACCAACGCCTTGCGCGGACAACTCACTTCTCGTTGCCTTCGTTTGCACTTACACTCACACAATCCCCTCCCCTCTCCCCGCCTCCCTTCCTCCAGTCCCTACCGCTGTCCCCACCCCCCTCAACTGAGTGCCCCCCCCCCCCCCCCCCC